GTTACAGCTGTATCCTTCCCCCACAAAGAAGGGATGACCAGCTTTTGGCCTTCATGATCCAAAGCAATGATACATTTGAGGCCCAGGGAACTTCTCCTCCCCAAAACTTCCCTGGAAAGGGAAACAGGCCCTGATGCCATGCCCTAGGCCTGGGGCGACACATGTGTTAGCTCCCTGCTGTAGGTCATGGCCAGGGCCACTGCCCGTAAAATGGACCAAGGGCAGTGGGTGCTCCTGCCAAGTACCCAAGACCTACATCCTGGTGGCCTGCAAGTCCCATGGGGCCAGGCAAGACTGCCACTGGTGAGGGGAAGACATGCTCTAAACCCAAGCTGGGCACTGGAAGCAGTCTGAGTAAGGGTTTAGTCTTTGTTTGGTCTGTTCTGATACCTCACACCGTGCCTCTGGACATGAACCCTGCATAAGCCAGGGCTTGCAAGGGAGGGGAGGTACATGGACCCACGCAAACAAAGTGGGAGGGACAAAGATAGAGGGAATGGTTCACTTTCATCCTGGTTTACAGTAGCCTCTCTGCCACGTCAGAGGACTCTCTGCTCTCCAACTGCATCCTTCTGCAAGGCTGACCATGCTGGAGGTTTCACTTTTTTCTCTGAAGCTGCAGGCCACGGGTGCAAAACTGAGCTAGAGAGGTCCCAGGGCTGACTCAGGATTTTAATTTTGCTGTTTCTTTAGAAATACCTCACCCAACTTCTTTTGGAAAAGGGGAACTTAAAACAGCAGCATCACTTGGTTCTCTCCCCCCCACCCCAATCTATAATTATTGACATTTTTAAAGGGTTCTTGTGAGGGAGACTGTGTGGTCTCTGCAGACACTTTCCCTAACAAATCAGAAGACTTACATGATGTTTGTGTCACTGTTAGCATTTAGCTCCTAGATTTATGCTTTCAGAGAAATGCCAAAGCTGGCTTGGACAAGTGAAATTCAATGGGCCAAGAGGGTCACTTCCTAAACCTGCAGCAGACACCTTTTATAGAAAACAGCTAAACTATAGATTATGAACAGCAAGCTCTATTGACACAATTCTCCATGCATTTACAGGTGTAACTGCATAGGTTTTTAACCAGCTTAATCAGTTATCCATATATGTGTGTAACATCTTCCTCAATGATTTATTAACGGAGTAAAAACTTCTGGGAGGTGTGGGTACAGACATCTGGAATATAGATTGTAGACCTCTATTTGCAATGTTATTTCTACAAAACCTAAAATTTCTTTGAACATGAAAGAACACACATTTTTCATACAGCTTTGCAGTCACATCTGGATGAGGTGCCCCTCCTAATGTTTCAAGACAGCAAGGAGAAGAGAACCCATCAGCTAGAAAAGGATTGCTTCCCCCTCTAAGACAGAAAGCTGGACTTAGTTTGAATTATTTGGCATTTGGTCAGGAGATAAAAATATACTGACTAGATGAGCCTCTTCTATGATCACAATAGCTGTGGTAGACAAGTGGGCAGAAAAGCCTGCAACTACACATCTTCTCCATGTCCCCATCAAGAAAGCTTTAATCAATAATGGAGATGTAAGACAAGGCTGGAGTCACCTTGTTGAGGATGGCATCAGAGAGAAGGCTCTCTCTTACACTTTAAATCATAACACCCTGAACTACAGCGATGTCTCAGAGCTGCAGGTACCTGTGCAGCATCACTGCGACTGACCTTGCTGAGACCCTAGTCAGACATTTTTAGCTTTCCCACACAGCTTGGAACAATCTGTCGTGCAAACCACTTTGCAAAACACATTTAAATGCTGTTTCTTTCACTTGCCAACATGCACGTGCTGAACACACAAACTGTGCTTCCAGGAGCAAGCAGCAGAAAAGCATCTCTTCAAGAGGCTACCAGGCAGTGCTGGGATAAAATGTTCTGTAGGAGGACTAACATCTCCATCGTACATCGGAATGAGATCTTTGTTTAATACACAGGCGTGTCATGGCTTCAGCAGTCGCACAGCTATTTTGTGTGCTCTGGGAAAGGGGACATCAACAGATTGCAAAACGGGAAAGTCTCACTGGACGTTGCAAACAAACAATGTGTTACGTAATTGGGTCTTTTGGGAACTGGAGGAAGATCTCCAGAAAATGAGAGTCCTCATGGTGCTTTCTAATTTTACTCAGACTAACCAGCAAGACACCCCTCTAATAACAGAGGCTTTTACAGAGTTTTCTTTCATTCTTGTGTCTCCCTGCACTGTCCTACCTTTGTTGTTACTGCCCCAGAAAAACACATCTTACTCAATTTTATCAAGCTGATTGATTCAGTCGAGAATGGCAGAGCTGAAGAGGCACTAAAGACCTTTAGAAAGGGCAGAAAAGCCATCTCTTGGGCACCAGAGCATGGGAAAACCTGAAGTTTTAGAACTTTATTGAATCAAATGTGTGGGGAATTGCACCATTCTACACAGCTATGATTTAGTTGACACACAGCACTAGTAAGTAACGACATAGCAAACAGGCTTTAGCTCTGTAATCCACATATTGTGCTAGCACATCTTCTTTACTCCCATTAGAGTAAATTCTTTCAAGGGGGATGCCTGTAAGCAGCAACTCAGCTTCAGGATCACACCACCTTTGTGCTGCAGGGCAGTCCTAAACTTGTGCCCTGGGAAACACGGACCTACAGGAAATGTTCTGCAAGTCAGATTTTACCATCCAACACCTGAACATGGACTGTAGTAGCTAAGTTTTAGATGAAGACCTACTGCCTTCCAGTCACATGAATAGACTGTAATCTGTACAACCTGTTTCATCCTTCTCCCAGAAAAATAAGGTATGTGCATTTCCTCTCCCACCTGAATGGAGCAAGCCACTTGGTCAACATATGGCCCTGCCATTGCCACCTCCTCCTACCCCATTGCCCTATCCCTCATCTGCAACAGGCTGCAGACTCCTGAAGTGGTGCTTCCATGTACCATCCCTCCCTGCGATTACAGGGAGAGACAGTTTAAAGGCAATAGAGATATGATGGCAATGCCCTGGCATCTGCACAGAAAAAAACACACTTCTTTTTCTAAGAAAGCTGTTTTCCCCCATTTCTTGCATGCTGACAGCCAGTAAAAAAAGGAAGGAGGAGGCTTGCTGCTGGGGAAGGTGGGGGGGCACACCATCACATCCCAGGAGGCCAGGCAGCAGCTCCGACAGGATGTGGTCAGCCCGATTCCAGCACACCCCTTGGTGACGGGGCTGTTGGCAAAAGTCACCAGTGAGCAGCTCAGAAGAGGGATGGCCATCGGCAGAGGCAGCAGGCTCAGCGCAGCAGGCCCCAGCACAACACCGGGAAGAAGATGCCACCGTCCCACTGCAAAACCTCCCATCGTAGACTGAGCACCCATAGGTGACACTACCTGTCTGAATGACAGGTGAATGACAGCACAGAGAACCTGGCCAGAGTGATGGATCCAAGGCAAGTCCAAGCCGCTCCGAGCGCAGCTGTAGAGCCCTGCAGCCATGGGTTTGGCCTGCCATACAAATGTCTCGCATCACGGGTGAACTGAGATTAAGCAGCCAAGTCCTCCTGCCAGTAGCCCAGTTTTGCTACTGCAGAGTGACCTGGTTAAAAAGTAAAGAGCCTTTGGGGGATATCCTTATGTCCTAGTTCATTGCATCTCTGCAGACAACCCTCTGCTTCTCCCAAAAAGAAAAAAAAAGAAAAATGAAATAACTGCATTCCTCTCCACTACAGTTATCATTCAGGAGCCACGAACAATGATTGTGTGCTCTTGACCCCTGTGTGAGCAACACACGTGTTCTGGCCTCCACATTGCTGGAGCTGTGAAGTTCTCACTCCATTTTTCCTGAAAATTCAAAACGCCAACTGGTCTAATAAGCTGCCTGAGAACTGCAAATCACTTTTTTTTCTCCGTCTACTGCAAGAAGTTTTATGATTCCCCTATTTGTTTAATTCTCCCTGTGCACACAGAGCAGATGAAGTAACACACAGAACATCAGGCCCACTCTCGGCACTCATCATGGCTCTGTCTCAGCTCCCAAGGGAGCAGTTGTACGACATGCAACGCCCAAGCCAACATTTAGCTCTCCCTTGACAGTGCCATTTATCAGGGAGTGCTCCAAATTCTATGCAGTGGTTTTGTGTTAGAGTCTAGTGTTGGCAGGCACTCATCTACACACACAGACTTCCCTGTAGGAAGAGCCTGAGGCTGGAACAATGCAACTCCCAGACTTTGCTCCTCCCAGAGCTCCAGGTGGGCAAGGAAATGCCTTCATGATACACCCAAGGATAGAGGTTTTCTACCATGATTTACTGGGCTAATTTATACTCTCCACATAATGTAATGAACAACACTACAGCACTAGTAATTTTTCCACCATCCAGCTAACAACACTCAGGAATAACCTCCAACAGCTTTCAGCCTCTTTTTTATTAGCAAATGTGTCTGCAGTTGCATCCTGACCATGAGGCTTCTCTGCATGACAATACTTTTTCAGGACATGCATGGGACAGTGACCCAGGCCTTGCAACCTTTGGAAGAGGAGGAGGTGAAGTGACCTTCACCACAGCCCTGAAACGAGCATCAGTGCATCAGGCTGTGGCCCAGTCCTGGGTGACCTGACTCTCCACAGGCAAGGGGAAGTAGGTACCACAATTCATACACTCAGTTTAGACACTTTCCAAGACAGGTCTTTGTGACTGGGTGGTAACAGCCAGCTCAGTTTTGTTCTCTGCTCCACTGCAGAGCTGAGGTTCTAGAGATCTGCTCAGTGCATGAATGGGGTGCAGGAAGCTGGGCTCACAAACCAGTCCCACCTCCCTGCTGCTGGAAGGGTGGAGTGCCCGAGCAGGCATCACTCTCTGGTCTGTTAGCAGGGCAGGAAGGCAGCATTTCAGGCTCCCCAAAGCATATAAGGCCGTTTGTGGCTTACCGCAACATGCTGGCACCCAAACACTTCCAGCGCAGCTCTTGGAGCCGTGTGCATTTAATTTCAGAACCAACAACTTTAAGTAACAAATAAAACCTTCACTTACACGATCTCATCGTTCTGGAACTCCAGCTCCCCACAGGTGTCTTCAAAGTCCTCTCCTCCACCTTTGGCTGAGCCTTCAATGGTTTTGTAGGGCACAATAACATTTCCTCGTGCACCAGAGGTTCGCAACACTTTCACTTCCATAGTCCCCACACTTTCACTGACATGCGTTACTGGCTCCTCAAAGGTGAAGATGCCAGCGTGGTCATCGTCAAAGATGGTGACGGTGGCAGTAGATGGTGATCCCAGGCAGGCAAGTGTTGAGACACGACTGGCCTCAAGAATGCCCTCCTCTGAGGCCTCAGTGCTCACACGGACGTTGCTGAGATGGACCAGGAAGTTCTCATCCTCCTCAAATATGTCATCGTCGATTATGCCAACACGGATTTCCTTCTGGGTCTCTCCAGGCTTGAAGACCACTGTCCCTTCAGTGAATTCATAGTCAGAGCCGGCATTGGCTGTCCCATCCTCTGTCCGGAAGTCAACGTACACTGTGTTGGTCAAGTCGCCTCCCCGTCGAATGATAGTCAGGGCGACAGTGCCACAGTTCTCTAGACACTGGTAGGTACCCTGCTCAAAGTAGAGCTTGCTGATGGGATCATTTTCTGTCACCTCACTGTTGACCTCGTGCATGCTGACGGCTTTGCGGGCCTGGTCTGCAGCGTGTCTCTTCAAGATGTTGCCAGCTCCTGTCATCAGCCGAGTGGCCTGAATGCGGTAAAAGGCCCTGCTCTTCTGCTGCTGGCTCAGGACCTGGTAGTTGGCCAGCTCTATAAGCTGTTCAATTTCCTTGTCGGGGTGCTTTTGTTTCAGCTCCTTCAGGATCCGAGCCATTTCCCTCCTGGCTTCCTCATCATCCTGGTCTTTCTCATCTACCTCCAACACCAGTGTCCCATCCAAAAAGTTCTCCACATGAGAATTAGCAACCTTTCCATCCATCTCGATATCAGCTTTGGAGGAGGGCCGGTCACCTTCATGCTCAATGATCATACCTCTCTGTTTGCCAGCTCGGTATTTCTTGTAGACGTACTTGTAAAATAAAAGCCTCCTGTCAGCTATCCAGGCAAACACCACACAGATGGGGAAGAAGAAGAAGGTGAGCAAACCTTCCCAAACTTCCACAATCCCAGGAGAAGACACAGATAAAATAATGTAAAGCCAAGTGTAGGCAAAGATGCTCCAGGCCGCTGTAACAAAAAACACTCGCAAGTGCTTGATCTTTCTTATCTCTCCATCTGGAACAACGTAAACACAGATTGCAATGATGACAAACATGTTAAACGCAGCACTCCCCACAATTGTGCTTGGCCCCAAGTCCCCGGCCGTGAAGCCATGGCCACACACTTCGATAACAGACAGGAGGATCTCGGGGGCAGACGACCCCAAGGCCATCAGCGTGAGGTTGGAAACAGTCTCGTTCCAGATCCTCACTGTGGTTTTGCTGGTCTCGCCGTTGGGCTTCTTGATGGTTATTTCCCGCTCTTGGGATGTAATGACTTCGATGGAGGACATGAAGCGATCAGCTATGATAGATACTCCCAGGAACATGTACACCATGGCTACAAAATACACTGTTGCCCGAGCGATTTTGTCACCAAATGAGGGGTCTTGGGGTTCCCATATTGGTAAAATCACACCCTTTTTGCAGATGTACGAGCCAGTACACTCCTCAGTGTCATTCACAGGCAATTCGCTGGGGCTCTCCGCATGTATGCTGTCTGCATGGAAGAGCAATACCAGCACAACGCTCAAGAGTTGGAAGCTCACTAGGAAGGTGGGTGGGTGAGTTGCTCGCGACATGGCCACTTCCACTGAACAGGTCCCCAACGTCCTCAACCTGCAGAGACAAAAGTGCATGAAGTGAGGCCAACTAGAGATAACAGATTTCCCTCTGCACACTGTTTATTTCCCATCTTTCCCAAACACATAATCAAGTTACTCTGCTACTCAAGGAGACCCCATTGTGTTATGAATACTGCAGTTTTCCATGTACAGATCACCTCTAGTTCAGTTATTTGATCAAGGATGGATTCAGATGCTACCAGTGGGCTAGCACCTATTCTCTTCAGCTACTGTGATATTTAATGCCACTTTCTCTCTCTTCGCTGAAAGCCTATTTGTTCAATTGCATTTTCCTGTTTCTCATCTAATTAAAGCCCATCATTCTGCTTCACAGCTGGCAGAAGTGTTTCCCATCTCAAACTTGCAGTGAACTCACTCATTGGAGTTCAGGGTAACAGCGGGAGATGACAGGGAAATCTACCATCCCCCCACCATTTTTAAAAAATATTTTTATGTTTGCAATTTTTGACTACTATGAACTACCTATTTCACAGCCTTTTCTTGCTCACAGTGCTCCCAAGCACCCACTCCACATCAGAAATCTGCACAAAGGATGCTCAAGCCCTGGCAAAACCTTATTCTTAACAGTAACTTGGTCATAAGGTGCACCAGAAGGGCAGTCTTTAATTAATGATTTTGGAGCCATTCCTTCCACAGTGCATCACTTTGCACCTTCCCAAAACTGGAAAGAGCCCCATATGCATCCAAGCCTGGCTCTCTTGGCATGCTTTGAGAGGAAACCTGTCCCTGCGCTCTTTTCCCACTAGGTCAGCTTTGACGGCTTCCCCTTCAAGGGCCTTTCTCACTCCATTTACAACATCAGTCATCAGGCATGACAGCAGTACTTGCCCTTGTCCTGCCTCAGGATTTTCCAGCAGTGTAGAGGAGCTGTTAAAGAGGTTTGCAGTTAGTTAATAGTGCATAAACCCACAGAACAGATGCCTTTACGTACATGGAGATGCTTAGTGCAAAAACCTGAGCATGCTCAGTGTTACCTTCTCAATTTTACTAGCCAATAAAAGCCAGATTCCTAGTTATTAAAGCTGTATTTTCTCCTCAAGGAGAGACTTTGCCATACTATGCTTCTCCATTCCAAGTTAATTTAATCACACAGTACTTAAAAATGTTTCTATGACGAGAGGAAAATGAGTACGTCAATACCTTTGCTGCAGAACACAAAAGGCTGAACTTGTTTTGCTCATAAAGAAACACACTACAGAAAGGGAAAAAAAAAAAAAAAACAAAAAGAAAAAAGGAGCCCAGCAATGAAAGGTTTCATCTTCTATGAGATGGAGGGTATTCCCATGCCCTTATCATAGATGGGACACAAGCAGGAGACCCAGTCGATGCCTCTGCAACGCCTGGCAGGTCTCATCCCACCACTTGCCATCTGCCTGGTCCTTGGCAAACACAGCACCAGGTCCCCCAGGTCCCACAGGGGCTGGGAGACACAGACCAACCCACCCATTCGAAGGTGGCACCCAGTGACAGCATCCCAGCTGTCACCTGGGCCCAGGTGTAGCGAGTGTGAACCAAGCAGTACGGCTAAGCACACCTTCCCTCTTCCTCCTGAACGAGGGCTTTTTTCCCAACGCAGCTGGGAACCAGGCTGGCTCCCCAGCCACACAGCTGGAGAGGCGTGCTGCATTGCTGGCTGCACAAGTACAGCCAGGCAGGTGTTCCTGGGGAGAAGCAGTTGCCCTCCTAAACAGGGCACACCAACGCCTCCTTGAAGAAAAGCACCTGGTCAGCACTACCCATCTCCTTATCCCCCATGACACAGAAATCACCCTCCTCAGCAGGGCAGAGGAGTATTATGCAGGGACAGGGCTGCCTGCAATTGAAGAACTGGCTGGAGGAAGCAGTGGGTACCATCCTGCACCCACATTACGGGATCTATTTCACAAAGAGACATTGTAATGATGGATCAAATACCTCTCTTGCATTTGCTTTTATTTAAGGATGCTGTAGTAGGATTATTGGACTGGAAGAAGAATACTGAGAATTTATCAAGACAGTTTTATATAAATGCCATTGCCTCACCAGGAACTGTTGGTCTGCCTCCCCTCCATCCTCCCAATTTTCTAATTAAGAAAAGAAAAAGATACACAGAGCAGGAAGTGAACAAGTCAGAGAGCTGGGTGATAAGAGCAGATAAGATGAACAAGAAAAAGCAAGTCTCCTGTATGAAGACAGATTTAAAAGAAAGGAGTTGTTTGTGTTGGAAATCCTGCTAATGCTACAAAAAGCTCTTACTGCCAGAGTCAGAAGCCCTGAACATTGCCCCCCTGATCCCATTCCCTCGGTACCTTCTGCTTCTCAGAATGCAGGCTGTAGGCACCGCTTACAAATCTGAAGTAAAAAATTGAAAACATGATGTTTGTAAAGAAGAGTACCTTGTTGCAGGCCATTTGGCAGACAGCTAAGTTGAAACAGATGTGCATTCGTGGTTACTGAAGTTTAGCCGGAGAATGAATTAGTCACCCAACATCTGTACTCCTGTGTTTCACACTGCTCCAAACCAAGTCTCGGAGACATTTGATAAAGGGGCTGTCAAAACAGAGGCTGACTTGGTATCTACTCTGTTTATCCCAGATAGCTCTAAAGTGTAGTTTTGGGGTTTTTTTTAAAAATATGCAGGCTTAAAGAAAATAGTGTGGGCACAAAATGTTCCTCAGCTGTACAGTTCTTCATCCTCTCTTTCTCAAGGGTAGTAGTTTCAACAGAAAACTCAAGAGCATCCACCTGCCCTTGTTCAGTTAATTTTCTCCCTGTGGCAAGTCATATCCTTGCACATGTACAATTATTCAGAGCAACCAGGCATTGTGAAATCCCCTTGGCAAGAAGAGGAAACAGATGGTTCTAGGGAAAATATTATACTTTGGGTCACTGATTTAGGTCATAAAGAATAGGAGAGTCCCATCACACTTTGGAACAACTCTACAGTCTTAAAAGGATTTGAGCACTGGAAGTCTCAGCCAGAAAAAAGACACCCCCTAAATCAGATTAATAAGTCCCTTGAACTTTATCTGCCATGTTCTTCCCTTTCAAACATTTTAATATAAGTTGGTTTTTGTTGGTGTTTGTTTTTTTTTTTTTTAATCAAGTCACATATTATTTTAAAAAGGAGGAAAAAAGGCCTAGAGGTTTGCATTTGAGCAATCCATCTTTCTAGCCTTCCCATCCAGTTCTCCAGGCACAAACAACATTTTTCCCTCAGACAGCCGGAGATAAGAAACATGGAACTTTTCTGGAGAGTTAAGATGGGTGGGGAAAGGCTGGAGCTATGGAAGAAAAACCCACCAGTCTTGGCAATATGCCAGGACACTTCTTAGAGCAGCAGTAGCATCCCCCAGCTCTATGTTGGACTTTTTCCAGCATTTTGTGGTGCAGTCAGCAAGCAAGATTCACATACCCTCACCAGCTTTCCAACTTGAGCTAATTCATGACGAGTATCATTAACACCACACTCAGGAATTGCGGAGGCTTAGAAAATGCATGGCCAAAACACTCTGGTTGTACACACAGGATCAGAGCCTGACACTCAAAATACCTCTGAGAAGCAGCTGCTATAAAATTAGCAGCATTTCTTTATTTCTACAATCCAAAATAAACAGCTTGGTCCCCAGAGACCCTCTTACTCTGCATTTGCACAGGGTCTCAGGCTTTGGTCAGCACGCTGCTTCAGGAGCAGTGGTAGGAATATTCCCAGACAGATCATTCATATTATTCTCTAACAAGAAGCAAGGCTACCAGAATGCCAGCCCTCTCTCCAAACCCAACTTTGTTAGCTTTTCATTAAGGTTTCTCAATTGCATTTCCCATCCTGGCCATCAACAACAAAAGCAAACACGGGAGCTGATTCAAAGCATGCCAGGCCAGCAGCTCCGGCAAACCTTGCCTGCCGCAGTGCTTGTGGCCTCGGCATCACTCCCCCAGCACCTCTCAGGCCAGATTTCTCACGGCAGCACCAGGAAGGGGTGCAAGTTGCTCATGGGCAACTTGCGTGTGTGCTGAACAGCCCCAAACCACCACCCCAGGCCAGCACAGCCCTGCCCATAAGCACCACCCCATGCCCAGGAGCAACACCCAGAGCCCTTTTTACCACTGCGGCAGCAGAATTGTCCTGGTGCTCCTTGGAACTGGCTGTCTGAGAGCTTCCAGGTGGAGCTGGAGCTAACCAGGAGAGCCAGATCCCAACTCGGGCTCTCCTGAAGTCACAGCTCTGCCTCTCGCCTTAGTGGACAACCTCCCCCCAGATGCTAGCAGTTGGTTTTGCACGGTCACAGAGGAAAGGCTGCAAGAGCCTGGATGGTCCCTTCGAGGCAAGCTCAGTTTAGATGCAGCTCCCGGCCAAGGGATGTTGGTTCAGCCGTTATTCCAACCCTTGGTGTTGCGAAACACCACGAGGGCAGTTGGTACCCACAGCAGGGCTGGGGGGTTGCAGAGATACTTGCGTCACGGCTGGACGTGGGAGCTCTGGGTTTTACAAATTGGTAGGAGAGAGCTCCTACTGTCCCACAGCTCAGGAGCTGCCAGATGGGGAGAAAACAGTCTTTTATACTCTGCTCTGACCTTCCCCTGGCAGCAATGCTTCTTCAGGCTGGCTGGTTGCTGCTTGCAAAGTAAGCCTGAAAGCTGCTCTGCGTTTCAACAAAGCACATCTTTTCCTTTCCAGCAGCCTCCCGCAAGTCCCATCTCCAGTTGGGCAATTCACCCTTGAAATATCCATCATAAGACTCTTCCTGTTATTTTCCTCCACCTTTGTACCGCGCACAGGTTTATGACCATCTGCAACAAGCTAGTAGCACCATTATTCTTCAGAGTACTGAAGAAAACACTGCTAGCCCAGACACTTCCATTACAGAAGAAGGATTGGGCAAGGAAAGAAGCGGCCTGGGCTCACAAGGAATGAGTGGCCACACAAGGAGGGTGAGAGGCTTTCCATGGGAGATTTT